AGTTATCGAGTCATGTCTATGTAAAACTTAAGAATGAGAAAATGCTGTTCTGGCCGGTCGTCAGGATGACCTATACTAAAACTTGTTTTAAAAACAAGGTAAACTTGGGCCTATTTTGTTTTCACGCTGGGCTTATCAATACTAGTCTCATTCCTTCTGAAATAGTATTTTTATTAAATAACAATGTAATATCATCTGTTTAATATCTCTATAAATTTGGTAAAATAATAAATGTTACAATAAAACGCTTACTGATTCCACCATCATCACCAGATTATACTTACTCATTTAGCGTTTTTACTCTTTTAAAATCATTTCATGCGAAAACTCCGAGTATTTGAAATATTCTTTATTAACACAAGACTAATAATAAATAATAAAAAATGTGGAACTGATTAAGTGCTTTACCTTGTTTATTAAATATATTTTCTCGGTACTTAGATAAAATTATATTCGATTATTAAAATGATACACAAATTGTTCTGCTTTTCGGTTAGTAATAAAATATAGCTTCAAGATTATTCTTTTTAATTTTTATGTCGAGTATTATATGTCTGATGAATTATTAAATAATATAAACAAGCTGGAAATGGTACAATTTGCAATGGTAATAAACTCTTATCCGATTTTTCTATTAAAACCAAGCAATGAAATATTTATTATTATTATTCGGAATTATATATTTCTTTTTAGATCACACGAAAATAAAATTCTTTTGAAACAAGCATAAATAAATTCATACATATAAAATAATCGATTTTGATTTAATAAATTTAAATAAAAATTTGTTTTTCATAATTTGTCCAATGATAATTTATTTTATATGAATCCAAATATAAGTGGCAAGTGTTAGATATATTATTAGGTAAGTTACTTAGTTTAGTTTAAGATACTTACCGTAAGTATCTTATACTAGACTATTGTTAGACGATAATATTGATTGTTAAAATTATGTTTTTGTGAATTTTCTAAATTAATATCACCATGATCAGATATTGTTATGTCTTCTCGTATAATCATGGCATTTGAATAAGCCATTAGCTTAAAATTAATAAAATGTGGTTCATAATCGTTTTTTGTTAAATATATATAAGTTTATTCTCTCAGCGGCGGATTTTCCTCATTTTTCATTGATGGGGTTGTGAAGAATAAAATGTTATTGTAATATATAACAGAATTTCGTCATACATAGTAGTTTGACCAGATTAATTAATAAAAACTAGGATTTTGAATAATATCTAGTTTGGGACAAATGCCTAACATGACATCCCACAAATGAAGCCATTGAATGAAATAATCAGCTTTTAAATGTCATAACAACGAATAGAAGTATTCGTTTAATCACATGGAAAGATTAATTGATAGTTCAGCTTAAAAAATTTTACTTTTACAATCCAGGTATTGCAAATAAATCGTACTTTCGAAATTATATAAATGTAGCCTATTAAGAAAGCGTCATAATTCTACACGTTTTCATCAATATTTTTAAACATTTCAATACAACAATAAATGTTTGTTTTATTTCGTGTAATTTTTTATGCGATGAAGGTCGTAAGAAAAACTTAAATCATCATTTTTATTTTCTTCATACCGAATGTACAAAATATTTTATTTTTATTTTCTTTAATGTCCCTATTGTCGTATTTTTAGTCTCTCTTGACATTGACGTGTTTCTTTCATTTTATTGTCTACGCATTATTAAACCACTTTATACATACACGTGAAATGGTTGCCGATTGGCGCCGTATAACCATCAGAGACTGCTTTGTCTGGCGATTTCAAGGCACTGTTCTATAATAAAATAAAAAGTGAAGGTTGTGATGATTTGTTTTGCGACGCAAGGGAGCATAAGCATTTTGAAAAAAACATTTTTTACGTTTTCTCGCATAGTAAACAATTCGATCATTAATATATTTCTCATAAGGTTTTCATCATACGACCCTTAAGTGACTATAAATAAAAATAAAAGTTTTGTTGAGTTAATAGTACTGTAGGACATACCTAAATTCGAAACTAATAGTGAAATTATTAATATCAATTCTAGATATACAGTTTAAAATAAAATTGCAGATCTGCGTGTTAATATTTGTTAAATCATAAAGTATATAAAATGGGCTGTTAAGTTGTAGTTGCAGTCTCATTGGTGTCTATTACACATGTCTATTAGGGACAGATGTCTCAGAGCACTGACTAGGGAGCGTATTGGATGAGTTAAAATAATATTTTTTCTGTTAGTTTACCACATTCCGTAATGATGAAAAAGATAAAAGTGTCTTAACATTAATTTTTAGCGACAGACAAATTTAGTTGACCCGAAAGACGAAAATCTTTAATATGCCACTGAGTAGTACTTAGTATTATTAAATTTAAAAGTACTCCGAGTTGTAAAACATAAAATATAATATTATTTGTACAAACATGTAAAGTGTGTAGATGACAATCCTAATAAATATTATTGAAAGCTTAAATATTTGGTAACAAACAGGTGAGATAATTTCCCTGACAATCTAGATAAATACATCTGATTTTAATGATCAATACGCCAAAAGAACCCAATTTAATCTAGTTGAACTTTCCACGACGAAAAATAAAAAATAGAAACACTCAATTTTAGAAATTAAAAAAATAATCAAATAAGGGTCTCTTTTCATCTAATTTCATACTTATTACAATACTTGTGGTTAAAATCGGATGAGGAATATAAGTACAAGATGGGTTAAAAAGTGACCCGTAAGACCCACTCACGCACGCATGTAAAACATTTTTTTTCAAATAAATTTTTAAAAAAGTTCCGGAAGAGGTCTTATGACTTTTAACCTATATGAAAGTAAAGTTCTTGAAGTGTACAAAGTACACTCAATCAAAGTAAAACAATTCGCAATTTTTACAAAAAAATTACGTTTTAATTATGAAAATAACTTAACAAGAAATTAATATTTGAGTAATAGTTTAAAACATAGAAAATGTAAAATACAAATATAAAAATTGTGAAATTCAGATTCGCATTTAAAAGTTTTTTTATGACAGTGATATTAATCACTGTCAGATTTCATCTATACTTGTCCCAACAATGTCGCGATTCCAGTGTGCTATGATTTGTATTAAGTTATTTGTAAAATTACTTTAATAAAATAAAATACATATTGTATGTAAATAGTTAAAAAGTTTTAAAAGCTTCAAGTACATATTTCATAATATTTTCTTTTAATATATACAATATAGTATTAAATTTTAAGCTGTTCAAATTACTAAAATTAAAACAGCAGAATAACTTGGTTTTATTTTGGTTAAAACTATGTCTATTTTGAATTTACTTAAATTTCCAATTTAATTTTCTAGTATATGCATAATAATTTGACACAGTCCAGTGTCGCTTTGCGTTACACAGAGCCTGTGCCGCCACCTTTATCAGCCGTCGCCCTACTACGAGTATATGATAGTTTGACTAACACTGCGTGCGATACGCCACTGTGTAAAGTCCAGTGCCGCACAGTCCGACGACGACTCCCACCTATGGAACGTCCGTATTTTTTAACTTTGTCCATCTTTACCGTCCGATAATTGATCATTTTTCATTTTGTTGTACACACTGGTACACCAGGTACTTAATTTGTTATTGATTACTTTGTTTCTTTTATTGCGTTACTGAACATTGCTTGATTTGTGATAAAAATAAATGGCTCGACGCTTCTTAGTAATTGTGTCGGCAACGTCATTTGTGCGAACCACTCAAATTATTTCGATAATGCAGTCGAAATTTCACGAGCTTGTAGTACAGTGGTTTATACCCATTTATATGTTGAATCACAACAGTACAATGAACCTACCTTAAGTCTTATCTTATAAATTAAGTAGTATATATTAAGACAATTTTGTGAGACAATAAATTCTTATATTAAATTTATTTGATATTTTTTGTAGTAGTATATTACAGACATTTTCGCGAAAGGTAAAATAAGGAATAAGTTCTCTTAATTTTTAGAATATCATTTTTATTTTTTGTATACAAATTTCTTTTAGGCCGGGTAAATGTATATGATGTCCCCTTTCCATGAGTAATTGACATTGTTTCTTCTTTGAATAACACTTTACTTTTAAAAGGGAGGCTTCTTAACTTGATAAAATGTAGTTAGATGGGTCTTAATTGTATAATATTTTTTTTTATAATTAATTAATTAATGCATTTTATTATGTGCGTTGATTTGTCATACGATACAGAAGAAAAATCTTAGTTCTGATATATTATTTAGGATATACGTTTTCAACGGCAGAATAAGAAATTTAGTTCGAGAAAGTATAGATCTTTGATACTAATTTCCGGTCAGTGAATAACTGTTTGACGAATTCTCTCGTTAAAGATTGTTCATATATACTTAATTTGTTGTGTATTTCTAAGAATTTCGTGATGCTAAAATTTAACAACAATTACATAGTGTCTTTTATATAAAATAACCAAAGTAACTTGTCCCAAATAATTTATTGTATGGTTTAGTGCACAACAATGTTTTGTGAATACAGACATCAAGCGAGGAAGTACACATTTTATATTTTTGTTTTACTATAAAGTAATATCTGAACGTGCTAACAGTTTACCTTTTACCGAAGTTGTCTTTTTTAATGGCGTTTTAATCCAAATAAACGTGACATCCACCAGTTAGGCTGTATTATTCAATTAAATGTTTAATTGAACGCCGTACATATTATAAGTTGATGGAGGTGATATTTTGTGATACAGGACGAATACAGAGCGAATATTTAATACTTGATCTATAATAAATAATATATAGCCCAATAATTAGGTGTAAGAATTATATGCATTTATAAGTTGTTTTAAACACACGATTAGCCAGTACATATGTTCATTAACTCGAGACCCTTCAAAGTAGTTAAAACAAAATTTATAAATGCGTTCAATTTCTAGCCCTAATAATAATAGTTGGCTGTAAATATTATTTTGAATATTTAACAAATTACTATAATGATAATGTTATGGATTTTAGGTACTAAAAGTTTGATAAACTATTCACATCAAAATGATCGTTACCGACGATCATGACTGCCCGTTGGCTTTGATAACAACACATGGAACATATGTAGGCCACTGACGGCTAAATTGCGTGGATTGTACGATGAACTCGTGGCAATGGGTTACCATGATCTTAGTGGCAAGTGGATTAACGTCAATGGTGGTAGCTGTAGTACCCGGCGAGGTCCGATTTGCGGTCATAGCCCCATTGAAATCATCAAAAGTCGATAACCAAGAGACATTGGGTGCGATTTTACCATCGGTAGATCTCGCCACACAAGCAATTGCTCAACCCAATGGCAAGTTGCCGAACTGGAAAATACATATCGAGTATAGAAATGGAAATTGTTCCTCTACCGACGGGCCGTTGGCTGCGTTCGAGTTACACGACAGGAGTGGTAAGATATTTTCAAGGGTAAATACTTTAGATATTTTGTTGATTAAACTAAAGTAACGCTTTAACAACATTTGCGTGATAAATTATTTTTAAATTGTGCATATTGGTGTAATAACTTTGTTAAAAAATTATGATGTATCATCCAATATTTTTTTTCGGGGATTTTCTTGCATAACTTTCCGTTCTGTTCGGTAATACACGTGTCACAATATTTTTTTTTTATCAAAACCTAATCAATATTTTTTTATTAAATTGTGTGTACCGTAGATTATACCTCTACGTTGAAATTTTATCTTAAACACTTATTACATCTTCAATGGAATTTCAAGTCGGAATTTAAGAAAGTTTATGTTGTGTTAATATCGGGAAATTTTATATCAATATAGAAAATGTCATATGAGACGGTAACAGTTTTGTTGTTAGGATAATTCTGTTGGCTCTTGGAAATAAATTGTCATATCAAGAACTCTTAAATATCTATACACTTGGGATAGTACACATCTGGTGTACAAATATAATGAGCACATAAGTGTTTATGTTTATTATTGTTAATTGATATTTCATAAATTAATCGTGCTTTAGTTTATAGATTTGAACGCTTCCATAAAATATTTTCAAAAAAATAAATAGCACCTTTGAATGTTTATTTACATTCAATCATTTATAAAAAAAATATTGTCATTATTTTTTTCCGATGTAGTAAACAATACATAAATCTACTATAATATTTCTTATAAAAAATATATTTCATATTACTTTTTGGGAAACGTAATAAATTTTCGAGTAAAAAAGAACATATATTTCTTATAAATGCTTGACGTGGAAAAATATTGCTGTTCGATATGTTTTTCTTTTAATTTGTTAAATTATCATCTAATTTATGTAATTGAAATTTAAATTTAAATTACTTATTAGTTACATTTTTATTATTATTATTGAGTGGATGATGTTTTAAATTTACCTAATATGAAAAATATATGATTTAATTTTAATTATATAATTCTATTATGCAAATTAACTGTAATTACTTCATTAATAAATATATATATAATATTGAAATTATTTTAGAATCAGTTTATTTTAAAGTAATTGCTATTGATTAAAAATAAAGTAGTTTTAATCTATCAATTTTTTTTAGTTGAAAAATTTATTTAAAGTGTCAATATTTTTGTATTTTATAAATTCGTTTTTTGAGTACTTAATAATTCATTTATCTAATTTAGATTAAATACAATATATTTTAAAATTTTACTTCAAAATTTAGTACAGTTTTATTTTTATTCAAATAATAGTGAGGCCATCATTTAGATATGAACCTTTTTTTTTTGCTAGTAGGTATTATAAAAGATCTAGCTATTTATTTCATGCACGTTTACAAGTTTTTAAAACTGAAATGCTGTAACTGAATTTTAGTAGAAAAAAATATATGTCTAAACTCACGTAGGAGTAAGCTGTTGCTTACATTTATATATATATATATGTGAGTACGTGGTGAATGGAAACTATATACAAGGTGAAACATGATGCCCCAATAAATTTGTCTATTCAGAAAATTAAATATTTTTTTTTGTTTATACTAATAGTAATCGTGTATGCATAAAGAATTCAATATATTTTACAACAAAAATTATTCTGAAAAAGAGACATTGATATTTGAAGTAATATTTTTTTAGTGTCTCTGAACATGTATTGAGTAATTTATTTAATTAAAAATTTGAATTGTTAATATTTCTGATTTTAAATTAAAATAAATATGTCTAAAAGTTGTTTGTTGGAACTTTCTACTATACAGCATGTACCCTATATATTGACATGTTTTTTCGATCTTTGTGAAAAAAGATTCTAAAAGACTTACAAGCTACGTATTTTGATAAATTCTATTTCCGTTGTTGTATTTGACTTTTTTCGTATTCTATATGAAGTATAGTATATCAACAAAATATTGAATATACGAGTTTACTTAGAAGTTTTTTACAATAAGTTTAATCAAAACAAAAATACATTTGCTTTTAGTAAGTGATGTTTACTATTGATAATATTACATTATGATAAAATATTACGTATGTGTGATCATTTTTAATAATTTTATTTTAAAAATTAGTGCTTAGATATTTATACTTTCATGAGCTATAAAATTATATTATTCGTTTAATTATAACAAAATAAGACATACTAGTTTAACTTTCTAAATCTAACGTAACATTTACTTTTAATAGATTTATTTATTATTTTGTATATCCAAAACATACTTATAATTGTTTTCATAAACAAAAGAAAATATGAGTTTTACATAAAAGTTTTCGCTTTTTATTGATATGTATGAACACATAATGTAATAAACTAGTAATGAATCATCGAAACGAAAATTTAATTAAATGTTATCCGTGACAAAGTTATTAGTCAATAATATTAGAATTGATGAATCTTGCGACGGGATAAAGATAAAAATGAATATATATTTATGTTACTTAAGAAAACACTACATTATACTAAGTAAATTTAGATGTTTATCAAGAGAACTGTAGCCTAAATTTATCTTTTTTAAATAAATAGTATTTTAATTGTTATGTTATGCGCTTTCTTAAAACTTTTTACCATAAAAAGAAATATTTGTTTACTTTTAACTTGTTAATTTAATATCAAAGTTAAACTGCTATTATTTACATTTTAAGTCAGTCGAGTAAATACTACACGAACTATAATGATAATCCTGTATTTTTTTTTTAGATGCTTTTTTGGGACCTGTATGTGATTATGTCATAGCACCAGTTGCAAGGTACGCCGGTGTATGGAAAATTCCTGTTTTAACGGCTGGAGCACAGGCCGAGAGCTTCTACTTCCGCGAAGAGTACCCGACGCTCACCAGAATGATGGGCTCGTACAAGCTGGTTGGGGAAGCTCTCAGGCACATATTACACGTATTTGGTTGGAACGTTGCTGGTCTCTTATATTATAATCATGGTGTCAACTCATTAATGGGCCATTCTAAATGTCATTTCACTCAATCAGCTGTTTACTCAGCCCTTGGATTAAAACCAGAGTATAAAAATTTCAACGACACTGCTGATATTACAGCGTTCAAAGAACTTCTGACTGGATTATCTAACAGAGCTAGAAGTGAGTGCGACCATACTACATTTTCTTTTGTCACTCGTCTGACTTCAAGTCATTATCTATTATCATCAAATACATATTCTTGGAATCATCAATATTTTGTTTTTTGCTGACAAATTCTTATAAATATTAGATTGGAGTCAACTAATATTTCTCTTTTTATAATTCTTATGATATTATTCTTTTAAAGTTATTTATTGATATATAAAATAAGTGGAAATTTACTGTTAAAGAAGTATTTATAATTAAAATAATAGGCAGAAGTCACATCAATACTTATGTGGTAAAATTACTTATTTTTTTAAGTAAATATGCCATAAGATTTTATTAGAATTTTTCTGTTTCGTATAATTTTACCACACTAATTATTTGCGATGACAATCTATAAGAATTATTTTTCATATAATTAATTTGAATTAGTAATTTTAAACACTTGTTACAAAATGTAAATATTTTAAACTAGAGACACTAAAAAATTTTTGAGTTTTTGTAAACATTTAATGTTACAGATATTAAGTTTTGTTAAAAAATGACCATAGAAAGAATTATTTCCAAAAAAGTTAATTGAACAGAGTTATTAAAGAAAAATAGTCGTTGGACATGTATGGTTTTAAAAATACAGGGTTTTTGGATTTTTTCAGTTTATAAAAGGTTGTTTAAAAACAGTGTATTGTGTTTAAGGGGGAAAAATGAATGATAAACATGTATCAATATTAAATTTCCTCTTCTTTAAACAATTTTAGATAATTCGAACATTTTGTACATTCTTATTATGAATTTTTGACGGATTTAGAAATATTTTAAGAATGCACAAGATAATTGCTGTATTTATTTAATAGTACAAACAAACGGGACTTTTAATTTATAGCTTCGATGTGAAGCTTAGAAGGTATTGATTTTACCATGATGTGTTTTTTTTTATGTCTATTTATGAAAGTTCTCAAATCTTACTGAAACGATTTTCTTGGTTTATACATCAAAATAACCAGATTTTAATTTAGCTGAACCTTTCCTCGACGATAAATAGAAAAAATCATCAATTTTTAGACATTCGAAAAAAATACCTTAAAATTACAATACACAATTAGAAATTGACAACGGGCTAACTACTGACAGTTTTAGTGTAGGGGGGACTATCAGTACGGAACCAATACAGTCATATGTTTGGGATGATGACGTTTATTCATACTAGCAGCTCAGTATTGGATGTTTTGTATAACCAGTTTTACATAAGCACCTTGTCAGAAAGGGCATCCAAAGTCAGTACTACACTAATACGGTCTAGCCAATGGTTAGTTGCCAGTACTGGTACAATACTTAGCTTGTTTTCAATACTGGTACTTAACAATAATGTCTGTTTAATTACCATAAAACATGGCATTTTTAAACAATTTTTTCTAAATTTTAAAAGTACTATAACATTTTTTTTT